CTCTCTCTCTCTCTCTCTCTCTCTCTCTCTCTCTCTCTCTCTCTCTCTCTCTCTCTCTCTCTCTCTCTCTCTCTCTCTCTCTCTCTTTTCTCTTCTATTGTTATGGTCGCTCTGTTACTATGTCTGTTGATTTGTTTTGCATTTTCCCATAATTTTGTTTGTTAGTAGTTAATCTTGCTATTTTCTGCCTGTGTGGTTGAGGTTTTGGGTTATGCTTGCACTGCTAATGGATGGGGAATGTGTTCATGACTTCTTTGTCCGTTTCTTTTCTTTCTGAACTTGTAAGTTTTAAATCTCAGTAATGATGATAGTACCCACCAACTTGTAACAATCGTTTTGATGCTGGGTATCTGAGATCCGAGTCCTATTGTAAGTGCAATTTATGGAAACCTCCTCTTTTGCCCGGCAGGGAAGATTTTTTTTTGTTTTAACTTTTAATGCATTGTATCCTTCCGTGTTCAAATGCATTGCGTTTTTTTTTTCACTTTTAATTGCAATTAGGGTTCTGAAAAGCGCTACTCTTTTGACTGGCTGGGAACGACCGTGATCCCATATCCACTTCTTGTTCTGTCAGTCATGTTTGCCGTGCTCAAATGAATTGGAAGCTAGAGATCCAAGCCATGGACGAGTTCGGTTTTTTTTTTTCTTCTCCAGACGAGTTCTTGTTTCTCTCTGTTCTTTCCTTTTTTGTTATCTGTTATCAGAATCAATTCGTTATTGAGCTTGGGAGAAAGCGGCAAGCCACTCACTTTGCACCTACTTTCAATTCTAGTAACTGCGAATCAGCATCCCTTGGTGCATTACAAATGCTGGACAAGTCCAGTGGGAGGTTATGCTACGTTTTTCTGCTCAGTTTGGAGTCCCGAGGACTCAGTCTTGTGCCCGATGTCTCCCTGCTTTATTCTGTTGGTCATTGGCTGCTGAATATAGTTTGAGCGAGATCAAGGTCGACTGAAGGACTGTGCGGAGCGGTTGAACTACTGCCCCTTGGGAGCGTGTGCTTTGGCTGGCACAGGACTGCCAATCGATCGGTTTGCGACATCAGATTCCCTGGGGTTCAAAGCGCCACTGCGGAATAGGTGAGTGAGAGAGAGTGTGTACGAACACCAACCAGTGTGCTTCCTTCACAGCTATCAACTCCCTCCATATGGTGACTGTGAGAACGAGTCCACCTCCGACTCTTTGCTTCACCAACCTCCCTTGTTTGTTGTGTCTGTCTTTTCGTTTTTTTCCACTCTGGATCTGGGTCATCCCCATTCAAGCCCTAGCATGGACTTGAGAAGCGGACCGTCTTCCCCTGAACACAGCCCGCCCTCATCATGAATGTGTCTACAAGCTATCTTTCCAGCCCCGAAACAGTCATAATGAGGGTGCGGTGGATTTCTAAACCCTAGACCCTGTGTACTGTGCTGAACGAGCAACATTTCATAGATGATGGCATACGGGAGGAAGGTTGATGAGGCCGCTGCCTTTCTACAGTGCTTCTCTCTTCATCTGTCCTTTATCTGCCTCGGCACCCCCAACTTCCCCTCCCCACCGACCCCCTCCACTCTCTCCTACCCGCTTGCAAAACTCCTCCCCTCAGTCCCCTCACGGGCCTCCCCTCTCCAACTCCATTCCCTCAAATCCCTACCCCTGGCCCTTGGTTCTTGATCTCCTGAGTTAAGGCCTATGCTCCCATAAGCTCGAATGCACAAGGGCAGTCGTTTAAGTAATTTACTCCTCCAGCTTGTGAATGCTGCACCTATGCTTCTAAGTTTTTTAATGGGATGAGAGATCTGACTGTGGGGTGCTTAGAAGAGCAAATGGGTGTGAAACCATGGAACAATCTTGTCCTGCTTGAGATCTGGTTGTGCTTTTTGGCTATCTGTTTTCATAGTTGACCTCATTGCCTTGAGTCGAGGTTGCGGAGAATATGCTTGTTGTCTTTATGCTTTGGATTGCCGTGGTTGTTTCTGGCAGATGCGCTCTTGCAATGACTGTATCGGGCAGAAAGGTACCTGGTCGAAATTCATGATGAGGGTGTGTTGTGTCGGGGGGAGGGCGGTAGCATCAACTGCAGGTCCAGCATGTTTCTTCTTCTACTTGGTTGTTTTTGAGAGACGTAGGTGATGCAAGTTTCTTGCACTTTTCTGTTGCCTATTGTTCATGGGAGCAGAGTCTAGAGTAGATCTGTTTGTACAGCTGTGTGGGGTTTTGGTCTCAGAGCATCCTCGCACTACCTCCTTCCCCCGAATACAATGTTGGGTCATTATAGCTGTATTTCGACGGAAAGATACGCCGAATACAGCTATAATGGCCGTACGTTGTATTCAGGGGAAGAAGGCAGGACTTTCATTGATGTGTCTGACCGCTGTTAGGGCCTGTCGTTGACTTGTCTGACTGCAATTACATCCAGAAATCGGTTGGAAGCGTGCATCTGTCGCACTGTGGAGACTGCCATTACGTCCAGAAATTGGTGGAAACCGTGCCTCCGTCACACTGTGGAGCTGCTACTCTGAGGTTAAATTGCAAATTGTTTCAGTGTTGACCGAGGTTGACATTCGTTAGTGTCGAACTCTGTAGCCATCAAAACTTTCGTATTGACCTTCCCTCTGAAGGTTACTGACTCTGCCAAAGGAATGGACCTGATGGCAGTCGTGGATGTGTTTCACAGCAGAAACAGAAAGCAAAAAGACACTCAGGATCATCAGAAGTACTGACCGCACGAGGTGAAATGTCTCTTTTTTTTTCCCCTCATTGTTTTTCTTTTACATCTTGTTCTTCTTCTCTCCCTTCTTTGCATGCCTTTTTCTCTTCTCGTTGAGCAGAATTTTTTATCAACACTTGGGGCGTATGATTGTGCATGTGTCCTGTGCAGTGTTGATGCTGTATCTGATCGAGATTTTGTTTTGGAGGTGCTCTCGGCCAATTCCATAATTGCTGTTCATCTCTCACGGCTTGCAGAAGAGGTATTGCGTCGTGGCCTCACCCCTTCTGATTCAAATCCAGCATCTCGTTTTTTTTATAACTTCCTTTATGGCCCCCTGATTGAGGGGGAAGGGGGCTGCACGGGGGGGGAGGCGCGCTCGAGGTTATCTGCCTCTTTCCTTGCTCTGCTTGTCTGCTTTGCCCTCTTCGTCATCCTTGCTACCCTCTCTTGTCCTTTTATATGGTTCTAGCCCCTCGGCCCTCCTGATTCCCCAGGTCCTTCTCCTCTCCGTCCCCTCTTCCATTTCTCCACTCTTCTCCACCCCTCATCTCCTCATTACCTCCTTTCTCCATCTCCCTCCTTCGCTGCACATTCCCTTTGTCTCTCCACTAATCCCCCTCATTTAACCCCCATCCTCCCTCCTCCCTCCTCCCTCCTCCTCCCTCCTCCCTCCTATATCCTCCCTCTTCCCATGGCCTGTTGCTCACCTTCCCATCTTTGCGCTCGTGGTCTTCGTTTTTACCTGCTGAGTTTTCACTATTCCTTTGGGCATCTCTTGTCAAGACGTGATTGGTTTCTTCAAGTTTCTTGTCTTGTCCTTGTTACAACAAGAAAAACCAAGAATTTTTGTGTGCTGTCTGCTGTGGACCACAGGCAGGCAAGCAAGGGCATCAAGAGAAGCTAAGAAGCGGAAAAATGTGGATAATTCTTGATCTGTATTTGCTCGTTGCTATGACAGCAACCAATCTGTGAGAGCCGAGTGACTTTCGCACTCCTTGTAAGGAGTACTCTTATCTTTTCCGTTGCAGCATTCAGACCTCCTTAGTCTGCGAACTGAAGATTGCGTATGTTTGATCTGCTTTCCGGCCTGACATGGGTGCCCATGATGATGGCCCTCTATAGTACAAGTTTATAGTACTTCATCTTTATACCCATATTTGTCCCCACCCACATGCACACTTGTTATGTATAACTGAACTGGATGGTTTTGCCAAGATATTGACTCTGGGAATCGAACCTCTCCCCTTTTTTTCAGTGGGTCTTATGGGCTACGGAGGAGTTTGGATTTATCACTCCAAGCGATGCGGTGTCAACAGGGAGCAGCATCATGCCACAGAAGAAAAACCCCGACCCCATGGGCAAGTACTCTTATTCCTTTGCTCTCCACCGGCTTTCATGTTTCTTCGAGAGTATGTGGCAGGCACATTCACTGTCTGGGTTTTAAAAGGTTTTGCGATATGGGTGACTGCACAAGCACACTCTCTTTTTTGGTCATTTTTGCTTTTTTTTTTTTTTTTTCATCTTACTTTAGTCGGAGTAAACTTCGAAAAAAGAAACCTGTGGAAAAGTCCCAGGGGCCGTCATCCTTTCTGTTATCCCCAGTTACTTACAAAATCTGTTATCCCCAGTTACTTACAAAAAAATAAACTTTCTGAAAAAAAGCAGATTCGAGCTCATGATCTCTTTTCTGATCGATTTGAGATTGCGATAATCTGCTTCCTAGTATAACGGCTGACCTGGAAAAATCAAAGGCCCAGTGATCGCATGGGCAAAACGTTAACCACCCCCCAAC